AAGAGTACGCCCCCCACCACCCTCCTACTACCGCCACTACTACTAAAGGGCCCAAGGAGAGCTGGAGGTCCTGCGCCGCCGCCTGGAAGCTCTGTCGAAGGAAAAGGAGAACGTTGCCATCGGCGCGTCGGCTAAGGTGGAGGAGCTCGAGGCCAAGGTCCTGGAGGGGGAGCTGCAAAGGAGGAAGATGCACAATCTCATTCAGGTCTGTTTGTGATGTTCTTATTGTTAATAGCATCGACCTTGCCTATGGGTTGATGAATAGAAAGACTGCCGGCTCTGTCGGCTTGGCTGCAAATAACAAAAGCTGCTCAAAGGGGTGGTGGGGGGGGGGGGGGGGCGCCGTGGGCGGTGTGTGTGTTTGTGTGTGTGCTCTTTTGGTTGCAGGCGTATATAGGTATGCGTGAAAAGCGTTCCGACCTTGGCCCACGCACACCTGGGGGAGAGAGAAGAGGTGGGTGTCCTGTTGGTTGCCGTCGTACATAGGTATGCACCCATAAATTGTTTCGATCATTGCCCGCGCTCGCCCCTGGGGTCATGCTCAACTGTTGGCAGTTGCGGGTGTGCATAGATTAATCGTTGGGACGTTTCCCCACGCACCCCTTAAAGGTACAGAGCGCGCGGTTGTTGTTCTCGGCAGGGGCACCGCAAAATGATCGGGAGCTACCTCGCCGGAGGGGTGCCGCGGGGTGGAGACAGAGGGGGGGCTGCCAAAGGACGCTGCCTCCACTGCAACCGAAAAAGGGGGCGAAAGGGACGTGTGTCTGACGAGAATCGCTTTCTCCCGGAAATAACAACAACAAGAGCTCCGTATTCAACACGTGTACAAGCAATAGATCGCTCTTGATATTTCGGCCACAATCCACGTCGCGCCCCTTGCCCTGCCCCGCCCCCGCCTGTCCCTCGTGCCAGAAAAAAGCTACAGCTTGCACATGGAGAGAAGCAAGGCGAAAACAAACAATTGCAGCAGCGCAGTCCCAGCGGGAGGATCGACCGCTTCTCCTTATCGCGGGGCCTTCCAGCCTAGGCTTCATCCCGGCCTTCACACGGACGACACTCTTGTGCACACAACTCTAAAGCAATATAAAGATTCCCCCCAGGCACTCTCAGTCAGGAAGGGGGGGAGGGGGGGGGACGGGGGGGTGTACTCATAGTCGTGCATGCCGTAGTCGTTAGACCATTGACCTCGCATCCCTATAAAGCCGGGACGGAGCACACGCCGGGTTCTCACCGGACCAGGCTCTCACATCACCAAGCGCGAAGCGCCGTGAGGTATTCGGCGAGTCGCATGAAGGGTGCGTTGCATCCTGCTAAGGGTGTTCGGCATCTTGTGCTTACATACTTCCGTACGGATGACAGCTGCGTATGAATTAATTGATTTTCTGGTGCTTTCACTTCCAGAGACAGTTGTAAGCACTGTGTAACTGCCTCGAAGGGTGCTTGACCATTTTAACACAACGTGGTGCGATCATCCCCCTTGCGCGGAGTGAGGGTTCTCGACCCCGCACAACACGATCGGCTCGACCACCATTATGGTTGCCGCCAAAAAAAAAAACAGAGGTAAAAAACAAACAAACGGTAACCTGGTTGCCGAGTTCACGGAGTGAATTAGCTTGTTTTACAACGTCGTTGCCAAGCGACCAAAACCCAACCC